TATTTAACTCACAATGAAAAGAAATCACTTACCCCATAAAAGATGCTAGAATTGACACTCCAAAATTGCTCCAAAATCGCTTCCCATGGAAGAAATGAAGTGAAAATGAGCCAAATCCCCGATTTTAAAAGAACACTACCTAGGCGACCCTTCATCGCGAACGCGGAACATACCTCGCGTTCGCAAAGCTCAGAAACCTCACGCCCAAAAATCCTTCTTTGCGAATGCGGCAAGCCCCTCACGTTCGCAAAGCACAGTCCGCCTCAGCCCCCATTTACTCTACGCGAGCGCGAGACTCCTGTTGCGAATGCGAAGAATAAAAGAGCCCCTAGTTGGCTCGTTCTTCGTGAACGCGTGAGGTCCTTCGCGTTCGCGAAGAACAACACCAACACCAGTAAACAACAACAACAGTTCAACCAAGAATTGGCCCGAAACCAACCCGAAACACACCCGAGCGGACCCCGTCCAATCACACCAAACAGTCCCATAACATAACGCAAACTTACTCGAGGCCTCAAATTACATCAAACAACATCGAAATCATGAATCATACCCCAATTCGAGCTTAATGAACTTTAGAACTTCAAACTTCAACATTCGATGCCGAAACCTATCAAATCACGTCCAATTAACCTCAAATTTTGCACACACGTCCCATTCGACATTACAGACCTACTCCTACTTCCGAAATCGGAATCCGACCTCGATATCAAAAAGTCCACTTATGATCAAACTTCTCAAAAACCTTCAAATTTTTAACTTTCACCAAACGACTCCAAAATGACCTACAGCCTCCTAATCCACATCCAAACACGCTCCCAATACTAGGATCACCATATGGAGCTATTCCCAAACTCATAATCCCAAACGGACATTGATAACATTGAAATGCACTACAATCCAAATTTATGAAATTCTTCCCAAAATGCTAACTTCCACAATATGCGCCGAAATGCTCCCGGGTCATCTAAAACTCGATACGGACATACGCCCAAGTTCAAAATCGTTATACAGACCTGTTGGAACCTTCAAATCCTGATTCTGAGATCTTTTACTCAAAACTCTAACCTTAGTCAACTCCTCCAACTTAAAGCTTCCAATTTGAGAATTTTCTTTCCAAATCAACTCCGAATTTTCTCGAAATTCAATTCCGACCATGCGTACAAGTCCTAATACCTGAAGTGAACCTGTTCATGGACTAATACCGTCAAACGACACTCTAGAGCTTAAAACGATCGGTCGGGTTGTTACAATTTCTGAGGATTGTATTACAAACATTGAGGGAGGAGAAACTTTATGCTAAGTTCTCCAAGTGTGAGTTTTGGCTCAGTTTGTTGGCGTTCTTGGGGCACGTGGTATCTAGTGAGGAGATCAAGGTGGATCTGAAGAAGATTGAGGTAGTTGGGGGTTGGCCCAAACCGTCTTCAGCTACTAAGATACGGAGTTTTCTTGGCTTGGCCTAATATTATCACCGCTTTCTGGAGGGTTTCTCTAACCCAGAAGGGTGCCCCATTCAGGTGGTCTGATGAGTGTGAAGAGAGCTTTCAGAAGCTCAAGACTGCCTTGACCACAACTCCAGTTCCAGTTTTTCCTTCGGCATCGGGTTCTTATACAGTGTGTTGTAATGCTTCTCGGATTGATATTAGGTGTGTCTTGATGCAGGAGGGTGGAGTGATTGCTTATGCTTCACGGCGATTGAAGCCTCATAAGAAGAAGTAACCCGTTCATGATTTAGAGTTGGTAGACATCGTCTACGCATTGAAGATTTGGAGGCATTATCTCTACGGTGTGTCTTGTGAGGTATATTTGTTATCATGGGTCAAAGTATGTGGATACAACTAGTTTACTTTATGTTTTATTTATTATATGCTCTTATATGTTCCGTGCCTTTACCTATTACATGTTTTACTTGTTCCATGCCCTTATTTATTATATGTCTTACTTGTCACATGTTTTACTTGCTATATACTTTTACTTGTTCATGCTTGTACTTAATAAATGTCTGTAATAGGACATGTCAATACTTATTTCTTACCATACTTGTTTCATGCCTTTTTTTCCTATGCTATGTTAGGATTGCGTGATTATTTGATCATTTGCGTGTTAATAATCTTGTTTGGATCCTTATCGTGTTATATGAGTAATATTAGCTCTAATATTTGGGATTTGCCATTACTTCTTATTCGTGTCCATCCTTTCTTATTAAACGGTGCTTATTTATTATCCTCGATAGTTATTATAAATTTCGCTATCTTTAGATGTGTTATTGGATGACTCTATGCTAATTGATATATTGGATCAGGTTGCCATCGCAACAATTTTATGACCACATAATCGGGCTGCTGCCGTATTGATGTTTCTGTGAGTTGGATTGGGTTGTGCGCGACAACGTATGTGTTATGAGATGTGTGTTTTGGTTATGATATTGACTTTTTTATGGGTATGGCTTTGTTTATTATGGATATTTTTCCTTTCCTATTGATTAGGGTTTTGGTTGCGCTATTCAAGAAACGTGGCTATCATTACTGATATTGGATTTCTTTACTATTTTTTGCCTTTTATTCATGCTATTATTACTGTTACCTCTATTTTTATTTCTATTGCTTATTAAAAATGTACAGATTTTTATGATAATTGTTTTGTCATAGCCTCATCACTACATCGTCGAGGTTAGGCTTGATACTTACTGAGTACATGAGGTCAGTTGTACTCATACTACACTTCTGCATTTTTTATGCAGATTCTGGTATGGGTCTTGGCAGTGTTCAGAGGGGAACATAACTTGAATATAAGGGAGACTTGAGGTAGTGTTGGTTTCCCGTGCGCAGACTCCGGAGTCAACTTCACTCTCTTTATTACTATTTTCCTTGTATCAGACAATACCACATTTCATTTACGACTATGGTTGTAGCACTCTTAGTAGCTCATGTACTTGTTACACCAAATCTTGGGATGGTTGATTTGTCAGCGGTTGTTTTAGACTTATTATATATTTTCCTGAGTTTACTTTTATTCTATATTATCATTTTGCTGTTATCTGTTCCCTTCCTCAATAACCGGTTACTTTTCACCATATTCTGGTAAAGCCTTAAAGAGTATCTTTTTCCTTTATTATGGTCACGTGTTGGCTTTCCTAGCAAACAGTGCTAGGCGTCATCATGACCCCCTTGGTTGGAATTTTGGGTGGTGACACAGATGCAGCCAAAGAGAAGAAAAAGCAAAAAGAAATAAGGTAGAAAAGGAAAAACAACCAATTAAGATCAAAGGAGAGGTAAATTAGTGTACTCTTTTTGAAGAACGAATCTAGAAACGAATTGACAAAATCGTGAGCCTTAAGTAAGTGCTCTTCTTGAATTAGAATCTCATAAGAGCTCTAATTGAAGTAGCCATTACATTCGGCATTAACTTTCACTACCTAAAAATTTCAGATTTGTATTCATCAATTCTTCAATGCAGGACTAAATTAGAGCGACTCGATAAGAGACTATCCAAGAAAATAAACGTAGAGGAAAGGATAATGTCGAACCTAACCGAATAAATTTTATCATTATATGTATAAAATATATTTTATATGTTAATTACAAAATTTAAAAGTATTAAAATTGTTTACCTTGGGCCTTGGTGCTTGGAATGGATTCTGGCAGAAACTCCCCAAGATACCCAAACCTATCCCACCACTATTTAGAAAAGGTATTATATGTTATTTGACCTTCTCTAAATTAGTAGTAAAGTAATTTGAAGGTAGTTTTTATTGAAGGATCGAGTATGAGTCATAGTTGTCAATCAGCTTCTTTAGTTCATTCTGTTAGGTAGTTAAACTCCTTAGGTAACAGCTATCACCAGCTAAGTTAATAGAGGTAGTTAGTAGAGGTTAGTTAGAGTTAGTTGATTGTACATATATATACATAGCTACTGTACACAGATAGACATATGGTTGATTTAAATGAATGGAAGGAGTTCATTCTCTGCTCAACCTATCATTTTTGCTTCAAACTTGATCAACCAGTTCTAGATCTTAACATGATATCAGAGCCCGTGAAGGCGATCGAGTCACACATACTGCTCGCAATTGATTTCTGTATCTAGAACTTTGGTTGTCTATGTAATTGCTTCGATTCACCCATCTTAGGTTGATTCGTCTCTGAGCAATTAGGAATTTTTTGTTTCTATGTGTTTTATGCTCCCGATTTTTTATCTTCAATGGCAATCAGAGCTGTTGGTAATAGCACAGGCACATGAATTGAAGATACAACACAATTTTGAACCAACAGTACAACTCCAGTGGTAGATCCGAGTAATGTTGGTGTTACGGTTGTTGATCAACATCATCCATTATTTTTCCAGCCTTCTGATACTTCAGGTAGCTCTGTAATCTCAATTACGCTAAATGGACATGAAAACTATGCTCTGTGGAGTAGTTCTATGCGTATTAGTCTACTAGGTAAGAGCAAACTAGGGTTTGTAGATGGAAGATATTATAAGGAGAAATTTGATTATTCTCTTCATGATTTGTGGAACAACCTTGTTCATTAGTAAAGGTCATCCTAATTCATCTCAGTTTGCCAATAAATCTGGCCCTACTCCTTACTCTTCTAGTCATGCCTCTTATTCTCCTGGCCCTTGAATCATAATCAAGTGTTGTTCAATAACAATGGAGGTTCATATCCTACTAATAACTTCAAGCAAAGGAAAAATCAGCTGTATTGTGATTATTGCAATTTCAATGGCCACACTAGGGAAACCTGCTATAAACTTAATATCTATCCCTCAGATTTCAAATCCGAAAAAAGTATCCTTCAAAAAACTCAGCTGCTTACACCCGAGAGATTCAGTTCTCCAACAATCATGTTGGAGGAGCATATGGCACTTCAACCAATACTGTACCAACCTATGGAAGTCCATCAACACCTTCACAGGTAGCCAATCTCACTAGCAACCAGCTTCCTCAGGTTGCAGCAAGTGGAATTCCTTAATTTACATAGGAGCAACACAACCAAATTATGCAGATGCTTGGAAAAGGAAGTGAGAATAGTGGCTCGGCCATGGCAGCAGGAATGGCACACAATGCAATCCTTCCTGAAGATAAGCCTAAGTGGATAATTGACACTGGAGCTTCTAATCGTATGGTGCATAGGATTGATATGATGTTTGACTTAAAACACTTGGGACAATCTAAAGTAGGGAAAGTGTGTCTACCTAAAGGAGATTTAGCCACTGTAATACACCTAGGCTCCATATACATATTTCCTGGACACAAAATAACTAATGTAATGCATATACCTGAGTTCAGATACAATCTATTATCTGTCTAATAGATTACAAAGGAGCTGAAGTGTGTAGCTATGTTCTTTCCTGACTTTTGTATATTTCAAGATCTCTTCGGTGGACAGTTGAAGGGAATTGGTAAGGAACACTATGGCTTGTATGTGCTTACCTCTGGGAGTATAATACAAGCAATTGATGATGCACCTACTGCAAGAAACTCAAGTTCTGTTCCAAGATCTCTCAATGTAAATACCACTAAGTATACTAGAATAAATGTTGCCATATGGCATGGGAGGCGAGGTCTGTACCTTTAGATATACTGAAGAAAGTAAGTGAATTTCAGTCTGTGAAATTTGATGATACTGAACAACATTGTATAGTTTGCCCAATTGCCAAGCAAACAAGATTACCCTTTCCTTTAAGTACTTCAATTGCTCATTCCAGCTTTGATATTATTTATGCTGATTTGTGGGTCTGTACAGAGTTCCTACTTATGATGGGAAGAGGTATTTTTTAACCATAGTTGATGATCATTCCAGATTAACCTAGTTTTATCTGTTACCCCCAAAATCTGAAGTAATTGTTGTTCTTAGGAACTTCTTCTTAATGGTTAAACCTATTCATTCCTCTGCCGTTAAAGTTCTAAGAATAGAAAATGATTGTGAATTCTTTAATACTCAAATGACAGAACTGCTCAAGTCACTAGGCATCACCATCAAAGCTCTTGTGTTTACACTTCACAACAGAATGGAGTGGCTGAGAGAAGGCACAGGCATAAACTCAATGTAGCGAGAACACTCAGATTCCAAGCTTCAGTTCCACTCAGATTCTGGGGAGAGTGTGTTACTACTGCAATTTATCTTATAAACAAGCTGCCTACTTCAATACTCAAAGGTAAAACACCATATGAAGTACTGCATGGCGCTCCTACTTCTCTCACTCATTTAAGAGTGTTTGGATACCTAGGCTATGTGTCAGAAGTAAGGAGAACTGATAAATTTGCTCCTAGAGCTATTCCAGTAGTTTTCCTTGTGTATTTTGTGGTTCAAAAGGGATATAAGATGTATACAATATCCTCCAGGGAGTTTACAGTCAGTAGAGATGTGGTGTTCAAGGAGGATGTCTATCCCTTCAAACACACTACCTCTCCTATATCATCAGTGTTGCCTGTTTTAGAATTTTCCCTTGACACTAACTCTGAAAGCAATATAACAGTACCTTATTAAAATGCCTCTCACTCAACTACTACAGTTTTACCTACTGAACTACCTGCTGCTCCCTTAGTATCTGTTGAGGTTTAAAACTTATCAGGTGCTTCAGACACCAGTACACCATCAGATGCAAAGCTTCCTACTGAGGCTTCAACACTAGTGTCACATAATGAAGTATCTGAACCTAGCCGAAATCTCTAAGAGTGTCCAAACCACCACTGTGGATGAAGGATTATGTGCTTCCAACTCATGGGAAGTCCAACTATTGTTATCCCATATTATATTATGTCATCTATACCAACATCTCTTCTGCCTGCCGTCTGCACTCAGTGCCTACTCATCTATCATTAAACCACAGTCTTACAATGAAGCAGTTCAAAATCCTAAATGAATTGCTGCTATGAAGTCAAAAATCACAGCACAAGAGGATTAGAGCATTATTGACTTGCTAGATGGCAAGGTTCCCATTAGATGAAATGGGTTTTTAAAGTTAAGTACACACCCCCAAGAGCAGTAGAAAGATATCAAGCAAGGCTAGTAGCTAAAGGTTACAGCCAACAAGAAGGGCTGGACTACACATAAACTTTCTCTCATGTGGCCAAGATGGTCACAGTCAGGTCAATTATAGCAGTTGCAGCAGCTAAGCTTTGGCATATCTTTCAAATGGATGTGCGCAATGCCTTTCTTCAAGGGGATTTGTTAAAAGAAATGTATATGGACATTCCACAAGGGGTTTCTACTCAGGGAGGGACAAACAAGGTCTGTAGGTTACATAAGTGATTATATGGCCTCAAATAGCCACCAATGCAGTGGAACAAGAAGCTGACTGATGCTTTGCTGCAGCTTGGTTTTACCCAAAGTCATTTTTATTACTCATTATTCACTAAGAAAGTGCAGGACAAACTAGTGCTTGTCTTAGTGTATGTTAATGACCTTTTTGTTACAGGGAGTTGTCTTCAACTTATTTTGCAACCTAGATGTGATCTACAACTCAAGTTCAAGATGAAAGATCTTGGTGAGCTCAAGTTCTTCTTGGGCATTGAGTTTTCTAGGTCAAGGGAGGGTATGGTCATGAATCAGAAAAAATATGCTCTAGAGCTAATTACTGAGCTGAGACTTGGACGAGCTAAACCTGCTAGTGCTCCATTAGAGTACAATCAGAAACTCACCTCTGTAGACTATGACAACTTCATCAACAATCAAAGCACAGACAAAGACAATGCAGATACAGATCACCTGCTACCTGATGCTAGCCAATATCAAAGGCTAGTAGGGAGACTTTCGTATCTGACAATGACCAGGTCAGACATTGCATTTGTTGTTTAGGTCTTTAGCCAGTTTATGCATAAGCCCAAGCAATCTCATATAGAAGCTTCACTAAGGGTAGTAAAGTACATCAAGAATGCACCTGGTCTGGGATTGTTGATGCCCTCTGAAAGCTCTGGGAAACTAAAAGCCTACTGTGACTCAGATTGGGGAGGATGCTTGTACACTAGAAAGTCTGTTACAGGCTACCTGGTGAAGTTTGGAAATGCCTTAGTCTTTTGCAAGCCAAAGAAGCAAGACATTGTGGCAAGGAGTTCTGCAGAAGCAGAGTTTAGAAGCATGGCTTCAGTAGTGGCTGAATTAACCTGGTAAACAGGTCTATACAAAGAACTAAGAGTGGAGGTTCAATTGCCTATTAATCTATACTTTGACAGCAAGGCTGCAATCCTGATTGCAGCCAATCCCATATTTCATGAACGCACAAAATACATTGATATAGATTGTCACTTTGTTAGAGAAAAAATTATTGAAGGAATGGTAAAGACACATTATGTTTCTACAAAAGAACAACAAGCTGTACTGACTAAGAGCCTGGGAAATCCACAACATGATTATCTACTATCCAAGATAGGGTTGAAAGATGTATTTCAACCATCAGCTTGAGGGAGGGTGTTGAAGGATTGACTATAAGTCATAACTGTCAAGCTGCATCTTTCTCAGCCAACTTTCTTTTTTCCATTTTTTTGAATTCTTTCTCACAAATGGAGATTTTTCCACCTCATTCTCTCTTCCACAATCACACATCAGTAGGTCACAACACTTCATCATCAATCAACCTACTTTTCTCAATCCTTTTTACTGGATCAGAGGTTCGTTTAAGCACAAAACCCAAGAGAATATTAGGTCCCTCATTCAGTTCCCCCTTTTTACGGCACATTCACCAATTCCTCTATCCTTCAAGGCTTTTACAAACCCAACATCAGTTTCAGCCTCACTTTCTAGAATATTAGATCTACCCCATTCCTTTTCAGTTAAAGTCCCATTAAAATCTACCAAAGACTTCTTGGGTTTCAATTCAGATGGAGTTAGGATTTTGGAAGGTGACATAGTTGGATTCACTTCGGGCATATTTGGAGAGAAGGATTCTTTCTGAGATAAGGTTGATTTGGTTTTGAGGAAAAGAATTGGTTTTTCTTGGGTGTGAGAGAAGGAAATGGTTTTTCGGGGCAACATGTCAGTTCAGAAAAGGTTTAACATTTTAGACTTCAAAAATTTGGAGAGAGATGGGAATAAATTAATGACATTACACTTCAGCAGTTCAAAAAGGCATATAAGTATTGAAGACACTACTAACCTGAGTCATAGGAACTAGTTTCCTTGATGGTTTTTGAAAATTTGAGCAAAGACTCCTAGAAGGGCAATGTCACTCTTACTTGTTTTGTCTTGAAACCGCCATGTATGCATACCAATAACAGTATAGATTTGAGTTAGATGTCGCCAAAAAACACTTTTTAGCAGTGTACCTTTCCTTCTTAACCTAGCCAATCACCGCGGGACAGGTTCTTAGTTAAGCTTGATCAACCCCAACTCCAGACGATTTCTTTCAAAGTGTTCACTGCTACGCGCCTTGGTGAAGATGTCTACTACCTGGTCCTCCGTCTTCCAGTACTTCATACAAATCAGAACCTTTTCAACATTATCCCTCAAAAAGTGATATCGCACATCAATACGCTTTGTCCTCTTGTGTTGTACCGGGTTCAAGCTGTAAATACACCAAAGTCTTCAAGATGTTGCTTGATCTGTTGTAGTTGAGCACAACAAGAAGCAGCAACCACGTATTCAGCTTCAGCAGTAGAAAGAGCCACACAGTTTGTTTCTTTGTACCCCATAAGATCAAGCATGACCCCTGAAAATATGCCGTTCCAGATGTGCTTTTTCTATCTATCAGATATTCAACATAATCAGCGTCAGCATATCAAACCAAGTCAAAAGAATCTTCTAAAAAATAGACGAGGACCGGGTCCTACATTCCCTTAGGATACCTCAAAATTCCCTTGGCACCCTTCAAGTGAGAGTGTTTTGGGCCAGGTTCCAATCACTGTTCTGTATGAAAGCCTAGGGACCAGGTGCCACACTTGGTTCCTCTCAACTGATGGAGTTCTTCTTGCATAGCAGCTATCCAGTTAGCATTTTTCAATGCTTCTTTGATGTTCTTAGGCTCGATTTTAGACAAGAACGCTGAGAAGGAAAACTTGTTCCTTGCCTTAGAACTAGGTTGAATACCAGAGTCTAAGGGTGTGATTACATTTTGAGGGGATGTGAACTCTTTTGCTTCTAGATGGATACTTGAACTTTAGAATTTGAAGGACCAGGTTCCTCCATATGTGAATCATCATTGACATCAACAGAATTATGACTTCCACTCTTTTGTTCTACATCAGGAGTACCTAATGCAGCATCAACAACCCTATGTTCAGCATCAACAACCCTATGTTCAGCATCAGTCAAGGTGAGAGAGGGACCAGGTTCCTCTGTGCCTTTTGGAGATTTTGCTGCATCTCCTTAATCGCTTTGCTTGACTTGACTCATCAAATCAGTCTTTCCATTTGCAATATCTATGGCATCTGTAAGGCCCCGTGAAAATTTGTGCCCAAAACCTAGTAGCTTGTAGTGTCAAGTTCCGGATTTGTATTAGGAATGTGTAGGGAGTTGTGCGATTCAGGAAGAAAGGGAAGTTGAGTCCTAGGTATGTCGGGCCGTATCGGATCGCTCAAAGGATAGGGCAGGTGGCTTATAGGCTGGAATTGCCCCCTGAAATATCATTAGTGCACCCGGTGTTCCATGTGTCTATGTTAAAGAAAGTGGTTGGAGATCCATCCACCATTGTGCCTGTTGAGACTATCGAGGTTAATGAAGAGTTGTCGTATGGAGAAGTTCCGGTTGATATTCTTGATAGGCAAGTCCGTAAATTGAGAAATAAGGAAGTTATTTCAGTTAAAGTATTATGGCGAAGTCAGCGAGTTGAGGAAGCCACATGGGAAGCGAAAAATGAAATGAAAGAGAAATATCCCCACCTGTTTGAACCAGTCTAAGTAGTGATCGTGCGAACTCCTATCTCTAAGCAAACTGATGTTGTGTTCAATTTGGTGCAAAGACACCCCATATTTTCTTTCTAAGTGCTTTACTATTGTAACTCCTCAAGTTGTTCAAGATTTGCAAGTGTTGTGATTATTTGAGTCATGTGCAACCCCTTTTATTAAATGAAAGTTTTTGTGATAAGTGGATGGTTAATGGTAGTATAGATTGGTAATGATAAATTGAAATGCATATAGTATGTTGAAGTGGTTAAATTGTATGGGACTCATTGAAGTGACTAATTTATGTGCAAAATCTAACAAGTGATTGAATATGAGCAAATTGTTGAGGTAATGAGTTGTATACCAGTTGTAGGGATAATTGGAATTGTGTAATGGTGCTTGGACATATGTTTCAGGGGCTCTCTGACAGGTAGATAAGCCTAATTACAAAGGAAACTCTGGCAAAATTTTTCTAAAGATATTGGAGTTAGTGAAAATTGGGAGTTCGCATATCATGTTTTTTCAAAACCAACTGATTTTCAAGATCCTCATTCGAGGACGAATGATAGTGGGGGAGGATGTAAGGCCCCGTGAAAATTTGTGCCCAACGCCTAGTAGCTTGTAGTGTCAAGTTCCGGATATGTGTTAGGAATGTGTCAGACCTTTTGTACT